CTGGGTGTTGAAGGCTTTCATTTCGCTTTGTGTACAGCGTGTCTCTACAATTTCCATCAGAAGCAGGAAATGTTTATCCAAGTTCTAAGGGGTGGGATAGTTGCTCTAGTTTTAGGTAATTTTAAACAAACTGTTTGAGCATCCTGTTTAAATAGAGTTAAGTAATCACAGTTTTGTACTAGCTGGAAAAGAATTTCATACATGCATGATAYGAATAAAATATCATTTTACAGAGCATACCAGGGTTGTGATGTATTTATCTGACTTGCGCAATAAAAGGTATAACTTTGACTTTTTTTCTTTTCRTAAAATGTTTAGTAATAAACTTACTGCATTATGTGATTACAATATGAAATATTTCATATTTAAACCTTCTGTCTGTATTTAATATGTTTTGGTTTCCCTACTATTTTTAGTAACCTCTGGAGAAATCTACTTCAAATATGACTTTCTGAAATTGTTTGGAGAAAGAAAAGGTCTATTCACACAAAGAACTTAGCCCTTAGTGTAGGGAACTAATGGGAATCAGGAAGAATTTATTCACACCCAATTGTATGAGAAACATAAAAGAAGGAAAAATGGTAGTTGGAGTAGGCTGATAAGTCTTATCAATTGTGAATTTTGCTTAAAGAGTGAATGCTTGGGTAGATCTGAGAGACAAAAAACAGCAGTGAAAAGATTCGCTTCCTGGCTTAATAGCATGGACACACATCTCAGATTTAAAAGTTGCATGATTTATTTTTGTTTTGTAAAAATTCAGTAATGAGGCCGTGCTGAGCTGCATTCTGGGTCCCCTAGCTTACAGAACTGATTTGAAAGAAAGTAAAAGAGTTTGTCCTCTTCAGATTGCTGTAGTTGTACCCAGCCTATGTCTGTCGATGCATTGTCTTCAAGCTGCAATCTAATGTTAGAGAGATTTAATGGAAAACAAACAATGGGCAGATTAATGAGTGATAACAATTTTTTAAATTGTTTGGCATTTTTAAAGGGCTACACAATTAATATAAACAATACATCAAAGTCATTCCATGTCTAAGCTTTCGTAGGGGGTTTACATAGAAGCTTGTACCTCAACAATGGTATCATTCCATATCTAAACAACTGGTAGGCAGAGATATATAGGGTCATCTGTGAAATCAAAGTTCATTGGCAAGATTATGTGGTCTTACTAGTAGGAAGTTCATGGTCATTAATCACACCTGCACGGTAAGGAACTGGATTGATTCTAGCTGTGTCCTAAAAGCTTCTTGCTGTAAATATTTCTTGGAATTCACCTTATTTTTCCCAGTTAAAGACTTATACATTATTATGAAAGAAAAGGTCTATCCTTTAGAACTCAGAAAAATCTAAAACTAAGGAAATATAAAGAGGATGGCAAATAGGCTTATGTTATTAAAACATATATAAATAAACCCCCAAATTAGAAAAAGCGTTTTTGAAGGGGGGGAGGCAGTGGTGATAATCAGAATGAAGAGTAAAAGCTTCAGCGGAAGCATTTGCTATAGAGCTGAAACATAGCTATTTTAAGTATCAAGGATGGTGAAAATTAAGATTGGGTGACAATTAAAAGAGTAGAGCAAGGGAGAAGATAAAATTTAGTTTAAGTAACAAGTATGCTTCTTCTCCAGATAGTGATAGGGACAGAGACCAGAAGGAAGGACACATTTGCAGTCCAGTTTTTTGGAGATACCACGAATCATTCAGGAGARTAGTTGAATTAAGAAGGCCAAGAGCTAAGATAGGAAAACAGMGTTTTAAAGACAGGCAGTTATCCATTCCAATATACTAGTTAAAGTCAGAAAATACTATGGAAAACAAAGTTGAACTTTTGTCTTGACTTCCATGCTTACTCCATATCCTCTTCAGTTTTAAAAACTCTTACCCATACTCCCTGTTCTGTTTTTCTTTCCATCTATTATTTTAATTATTCTCATTGAAAAGAACCTTTTGAAAAWTTCAGGGAAAAACAGGTATGATTAAGGGAGTAAATAAACTCTGTAAAAGAATCTAATTACTTCATAAAGCATATTGGCTTACTTTACAATACTTTCTTTGCTTTATAGATGCCAAGACAGGATTAATCTATAATGCCTTTGTGATCTTTCCTTTTATTTCAGTTTATGTAATTAAAGAGTTCCCAGGACTGCTTTACGCTTACTTTATTCATCAAAACATGCTTCTCAAATTTTATGAAAGCGCCGTCCAAAAAGAATCCAATCCAAACCAAACCCTGGTCAATTTTCTCTTGGAAGGCAATCAACAATAAAGTCATACCTTGTATCTCATTTTTAGCTGAATAAACATTATGTTTCCCTTAATAATGTATAATTTTAGGGCATTCTCTCTACATTCTCCTACTTCTAATGGTGTAATATATCCTGGAARTACATATAGCAAGATATACATTAGCAGGCATAATTCAGTTGCTTCATAGTGGCTACTGGAGGATGAAATCCTGTTCTCATTAAACGCTTGCTGGGTAACTGTGTGTTTGTAGAAGAGAACGCACTTRGAGAGAAATTAAACGTTCATAGCATTAGGAAACTGTTTTGATTGTTAATATTTAGTGGAAAATATGGTGAAAAAGATTAAGTAGCAAAAAAGACTGGAAAGTTTTTGTTTGTTACTGCAGTTCAAGTTTGACAGCCAAAAGAAAGAAAGGATTTTTTTCTATTCTCACATTCTTTTTTCTTGTAAATTTTTATCAAGTTCCAGTGAACATGTCAGCATTCTGACCAAGAAAAGACTATACAGCGGTTTCAGGAAAGTAATACTCATAGGAACTGAGCATATTTCATCCAAAAAGTGCATATATTCTAATGCTGAAACTTTCACCTGCTGAGCATGTGCATGTTGTGCATCTCCTTGTTTATCCCATGTTAGTGCTTGAGAATTAATATTCTTCTCCTTTAAACATTCAATCGTCTGCTAAATTCATGATAAGCAGAGCAGAGAGCAGAACTTAGAGTCATATTTTTTGCTGTGAATTCTGATTAGGCAAGTGGAATGTGCACCCAGGAAAGCTAGAAAAGCAGCTCAAAATATTGTTCACAGAACAGTTGAGGTTGGAAGGGACCTCTAAAGATCATCTCAAGTAGGGAGAACTGTTGTATAGCAGAAAACACAACAGCAGAGCAATTTCAGCCTCAGGACTGTTAATTCAAGTTTGAATATCCCTGCTTTGGAAGAGATGATCAACTAAGCTCTAGAATGTGGCAGAAATACTCCTTCCCGTTGAGGATGGGATGCAGCTAAGATATGAAAAGAGCATAGGAGACTTAGCATTATCCAAATCTGGGAACAGACCTGCTGCTAATTTTTTAGTTCTGACTCCCTAATGACATGATATTTTGCTAAACAATCCAGATGAATTTACAGTCAGCTAAACTGGAAATGTTCTAGCAAGCCCCAATCCAAAACAAAAGTAAGAGTTTGAGCAGAACATAATTTCTGATATTTGGAGTTGGCAATTACATGTTTGATAAATGTCACAAGAAAACCCCACTGGTTCTGTTGGAATCAGACATGGAAGTGTTTGGCATGAAAGTGATTAAATGGATATTCTTATATATTAGAAAAGGGTTATCATCTAGAAAATTGTGAAAGAAAGCTTTTTTTATGTCAGTGTTGTTAACTGTGTTTTTCATGGAGGTCGGTGCCAGAATGCTAGTCCATCTGGRTCCTGAATTTGTCCAGTCTTCAGTTTCTGTGCTCTAAGGTAGGGTGGGAAAAGCACAGTTTTAATATTTTTTTCTGCATCCTCTTTTTGTAATCAGTAAAAAGTCAGCCAAACATTTCTAGCCTGCTCCAGGAAACATCCCTGATAAGTATAGCATTGAGGCACTTAATGAGCAGGATTAATGTACATGCTTAAGGTTAAGCATATTTTTAAGTGCTATCCTTTGAATCTGAGTCTTGAAGTAGTTGATTAAAGAGAAGCAGCAAACATTTATGAATTTCTGGACTCCTATCTATAAACTATGTAATCTGCAGGCTTGGATTCACTGGTGGGAGGTTAATTAACTTCCATCTTCTTCCAGTTTTGCTCATCCAAAGCAATACCACATATTGTCTCTTCTTCTTCAGCCCTTCTTGAGCCAGAGCCAAACTGGGATGTTGTGTGACATTCGAAGAGGGACTCCTAGGTCCAATGTTTACAGACCTGCCTACCATGTAATGCCAAGCACACATTTAGTTTATTAGTGTTTTCAAGCCTCACTGTTTTACTGCATGCTTAAATTTGTTTTTGTTTTCCTAAACCCACCCAAATGGGGTGGTTACCTAGTGGTTATTTACAAATAGTTACTGTTTACAAGAAGAGTTTATTTCTAGTCCTGTGACATGGAGAACAGCTTGGAAAGTTGAGCTTTGAAGTGATAAGCATCAGAAGTAAAGAAGTCAATATATTTTTAAATAATGTAATTGGATTGCAATGTGTTAAGAGTGTTTGAGGCAATTCAGATAACCATAAGGGAGTGTTYAGGACTGGCAAAATTGTTTTCTATAGTTTAACAGTTCATATTGTTTTCTATATAATTTGGAAAAATATTTTGTAGACAAAGTAGTTGGTAAGGGATAAGAGAAGGAATAATAAGCCTGAAAGTTGTCTGGCAGGATTTGAGTAGTTTGTTGTTTATTCTTATGGGTAATTTTAAAGATAAATAGTATCATGTAAATATCGCCATTATTATATGTAGTTGATTATAATTCCATATGAACATGCTATATATATGTAGGGATGTATATATATATATATGTGTGTGTTGACTCCTTATTACTAAATTTCAGTTYTGTTCCCTTTCACTTATTTCTCACTTTCCTTTTTTCAGCTCTTTTAGGTTTCTGGATTTTTGGTTGCCAGCTTCTCCTTTTTCAGAATTGTCGCATTTGCTTCTTTCACTTCTTGACGCAAATGCTGCTGTCACCCAAAGTGTAGTTTCAAGCAGCCCTTTGTGTAACTAAAGAAATTAGCTAAATAGCACTGTTTTAATTAATTTCAGGACCGCCTCTTCTTCGTCATGGAGTATGTAAATGGAGGAGACCTAATGTTTCAAATCCAGCGCTCACGCAAATTTGACGAACCTCGATCCCGCTTTTATGCAGCAGAGGTTACATCAGCCCTCATGTTTCTCCATCAACATGGCGTCATCTACAGGTAATTTTTTTTTTTTTTTTTTTTTTGATCCAAAATAAAGTATTCCTGAGGTTTTGGGCTGGTTTTGGCTGGAATCCCTTGTCTCTTAGCAACCAGATTTAGATTAGTTGTTTGTTCCAATTTGCTTACATAGAACTTCTTTGGCTGTTTATCAYTCCGAATGTTCACATCTGAAAGGGCTCTGCAGCAGCCGCCAGCTGTGTGTGCCAGTTTTGCATTATAGTGCAAATAAAGCGTTTTTGAACAAGCTTGGCACAGGGCGACCCAGAGGTGACCTCGCCGCAGATCCGCGCAATCTCTTCCCTTCCCTCTCTGTGCCATGGATTTCCTCTCGTTTTCCAACTCCCTGCCACTTCCTGAGTTTGTTTGTCCTAGTTGTCTCCAGTCTGATAGAACCRGGATAGCAGTTTGCAATGCTTTACTTTATGCCCCTTCCTCTTAGCTGTTTGGGCGAAGCCTTAGTCACCAGCAGGAAGCGGCTCCGTGCGGGCAGCTTTGATTTGCCTGCACGTGCCCCTCATCTATCTGCAGAAATAAAACCTCAGAATCTCTAGTCTTGCACCCACATGCAGACACACGAAAATGTGCGTATTTTAGCTATGCTGTCAAGAACACATTTAGGGGTGAACATTTATTAATAACAATTAAGAATCACTTAGGAAATTTTCACTCTACTGTCAATGTGTTTATTAAGTCTTTATCTTGTCATTCCATCCTTCCTCTCCTTTTTACTTGTTTTAGCAGCCTATTGTTGCTTCTGGTAAATTCAGGCTCTTACAGGCAGAACAGTTTATAGGTTTTGCAATACGGGTCTGTGGTGATTTACTGAWACCCTTGACTGCTGTGGATATAAGTGAGACTTGATGTTCGTGCCCTCTTTGTGGTTATCAGTTTTGATTTTGGGGGTGAATAGGCAGTCTTAGATTTCTTAAGCTGTAAAAACAAGGGAGGATATGGAATTAATCAAACTCAGTGCTACTCTTGAGAGTATTAGAAATTGAAATAAGCTAATTTTAACTAAATAATTTTTAGTAACCAGTACTGGGCAGCAACAAAAGTTGTTGTCTTTCCCACCAACAGGAATTCTGAGTGAAAGTTCTCACAGAATAAGTCTCCTTTCCAGAGACATCACAAACAGCAGGAGGTTGTGTCTTCTAAGCAACAGAGGTCCTTGAAAATTTTCTTTCAGTCAAAAATCCATCTTTCTTTAGAAAACTTTTCTTGCCAGCTGTAGCTCCTGGTCTCCATCTTCTATTTGTAGTTGGCTCCATGTTTGATGCACACTGGATTCGACTTTTTTATCTACCTTTACATAAGTTTGTTTTCAAGTGCTGAAGATTCAACTCTATTTCTAAACTTTGCTTTAATAACATTTCTTTTTTCTTCTCTGCATTTATTTTTAAAGCAAATATATTTGTAGTTTTAGATAGAGGAAAGTGGCAATTTCAGAAAATATAAGGAATCCACAATAAAGGAGCATATAAGTTGGGTGCTTTAAAAAGTTATAGATTTTGAGGATTTGTTTCTATTRAAACATGGAGATAATTTCCCTTTCCTAAAGGTAATATTTACTGACATTGTAATTAACAGTCATTTTAATGGTTGCAGTGAACCAGTCACACAGAAAAATCCACACTGGTAAAATGACCTTCCTCCTGCTGGTATGCAGGCAGTAGGCATCCCTTTTCCCTTCCACCTCCCAACCTTTCACATGCAGTCCCTTTTCTTGCCTCTCTTTCCTTTCTCTTCCTCTCTTTTGCCTTGCTTTATGTGTAGCTTGTGCTATGTGTTGGCCCCAAGCTGAACTGAATCACTCCATGTGCATATGTTTTATCTTTGCCTTTTTATTGTCCTCAAAATGGTTGGATCCCAAGAGAAATATCATTATGGTGGAACAGTGCTTTGTAATTTAAAGGCTGCGAGACACACTCAGCTTCTGATGCAGAGGCTATGCTGACATGGACAGTTTGTCAGTGGCGTGTTGCATTAGGTGCATCATCACACAAGGCAAAAGAGGAAGAAATAACATGGATTGTAGGATGAAACAGAAAAGAAAGGGAAAAGAATTAGGATCTCATCTTACTCAGCTTTGGCACAGGTTTGTGGATCTGCATATGGTTGTAGTCCATAAAAATAGCTTGTTTTTCTCTCTGAAGGCTCTTAAAAGTTTCAACAATACATAACATGTATATCACAGTTACTCTATACAATACAAAGAGAAGGAAAAAATAGAGATTATCTAACAAAAAATCATAAGAATGTGTCACAATTCATTCAGAGTGTGCCAAGGCTTAGGAGAACACATATTACAGTTGTCTTGCATGGAGCAATTTCAGTCTGATGAGTCAGTACCTTGCTGCATCACTTAYGGCAGCATGCAAAATGCATTGGGATCAGGTCGCTCCCATACATCACCAGAAGCTTCCATTAACTGCCAAGCTAGGAAAGGAAAGGGAAAAAAAAAAAAAGAAGAAAGAAAAGGAAACCAATGCTCTTGAATTGCTACCAGTCATAACTATCTAACCTACCTTCATATATTCTTATATTTTAATAAAGAATACCTGTCTTCCATGTAATTATATCTCTAGAAAAAAAACATTGTGGTGTGAAATTAATGGTTATTCTCCAAAGTGGGAAATGCCGCTTGTGTGGGCAATACTTCAAGGAAAGTGGAAATATATAAATAAATGAACATGTCTGGTGGAAATGCAGGTTTCAAAATAACTRCCCTGCCTTCTGAGCTTTTTTCAGCCATGTATGTGGAAGTGTTTGTTTGGAGCTAAACATAGCTATAGTTTTGGAAGTAAATAACTAGCTGTAGCTAGTGCTTTGGCTTGTCGGTTAGATTTTAGAAAGTGCTATGATGATACTGAATGATCATCTTTTTTAATAACTAGTTTATCCTCATTTCCCCTGAAGTTCAAAGGGAAAACTAGTTCCCTGTTTGGCAATGGAAATTATTCTTGAAGTTCACGGCTTTGCAGCTGGCACAGCAGCAGCTCCCAGACTTGTCCAATTAGCCCCTGTGTGCTCACTGGAATTATGCACCTTCTGACATTCATAGAGTTTACGTTGGAAGTGAAGATTTAAGTTCATGTTTTTTATAAATAATGAACCTGCTGTTACTAAATTCATTTTGCTTCATGTGGAAAACTTTAGCATGATTTACACAATGGAATTTTTAAGGAGCATAGGTTACTGTTGTGTCAAAAACGCTTCAACAACTTAATAGAAATGTGTGCATAATCCCTGCCACTTTCCTTCTCATCTGGCGTTCRGTTAATCAGGCATGCATCACGTTGGGGCCTGATAATGCAAGCAGAATCAATCACGCTATAGATATTTCTATCACAGTTTTTGGCAGCTACTATTGTTYGTGTTTTGCAATTACACCACTGTGGAAAAAAATACAAGCAAGCTTCAGGAATTAAGGGCTGGACTGTGAATCTCATTTTGCCTGTGAGTTGTGCTGGACTTTGAACTGTGTGATGAAAGGTTGTGGACTGTGTTCACTGTCACCTGTCTGTAGAGTCTGGTATATTTAAAGTCAGTCATCAACAGCTTAATATATCTTTTTACATAGGGAAGATGTAGCAAACTGGGTCTTAATAAAACCGTAAGTAGAATACATTGCTCTTACCCTGACTTTTATATTTCTGTGTACATTACACAGTTATATGTAAATGTGGCATGTTCTCGTTTAACCTGGAATTGTTGGGTTGGATACAGGAATTTGTGGGTGAGTGGGAGTAGCTCTGGCTCTCACTGTGGGAGTTCAAACAAGGTGAACACAAGTAGCCCATTCTGGCCTTAAATACATACAAAGATTTCTTGTTTCCCTAGCTGAGGACATCAGCATTAGAATAGGGTACCACTTTGTTCGAAAAAAACGCCTGTGCCCCTAGTTAATATTTGATTTAAAGAACAAGCATTTGAGTAACACAGGTTGTTTCGGGGAAGACCTGAGGAGTCAACAGTTACGTGCTGCATTGATCTCTGCCAGCTTTCAGCACCACTCATGTAAGTAAACAGGGTGCTCTCACTGAGATGCAAAATAAACATGAAAAATACCTGACAAATTCATGTCATATGCTTCACCTTGGCTCATTCTTCTGGTCAAGAATCTAATGAATGTGTAGAAGACGTGGCCTTCAAGGGTAACAGAGGGTAACTGGGGCTATCGGTGACACGAAGCCACACTCGGGTCTGTGGCTCGCTGCAGGTTCCCGAGGCTGGTGAGCTTTGTAATTAGTGCATAGTCTGTGACGAAGGATTTATTAACACAGAGCCGAGGAGAACGTGAATACAAATGTGCTGATGCGGGTCCTTGAGAACCTGCAGGCTTTTCTCTTGCATAAGTTCGCTCCTTGGATGCTAGCTGAGTTCTTCCTTGGCCGATGGGTTTTGCGAGCAGTCCYATGTCTCGGGGCCAACCGCAGCGGTGTTGCAGGAAGAGCAACTGCATACAATTAAAAGTGCTTTCATTAGCGTGTTTTTCTGTGAGATACAGAATATTTAGAAAGGCTGACTTCAGTGGCGTATGATTCAGTGCACCCGTGGCAGAGTAATAAGGAGTTATATTTACACTGATGAAAACGTTGCATGGTCAGTGGTTAGCATGTTAAAAGTCATCATTCTCCCCAGTTACCTCACCGGGTTATTTCTGAATGGCAGCAACCAAATAAAGTGATTGAAACACATTCCAGTCCCATTTCCCCCCCAGCTCTTTCTTTTCGGGTTTTGAAATACAGAACTAAAACTCAGAGGAACTTAGACAAGGAGCATGCTGGTTTATTTAATTTTTTTTTTTTTTTTTTTTTTTTTTTTTTTTTTTTTTGGTATGTAAAGATTATAGTATTGCAAATCTAAACCGTGAAGGGTTGAGGTATTTTTTGAACTCTGTCCCATGCAGTAGGGTAAGAAAGACCTTGCACCCTTACGTAGCACATTCAGACCGAAGCACAGGGATATCCTGGACTCTACCCTTTCCCCACACAAAT